TGTACGTGGCCTTCTCCGAGTTCTTCTTCGACTCTGCCTTGGAGAGCTACTTCCGGGCAGGAGCTCTGATGCTCTCGCTGGTGGGGGACAAGGTAAGCCGGGATCTGTTTGTGGGGTGGGGGCCTGTGATCGGGCTTCTGCCTTACCCCCGATTCCCCTGTGCAGGTGCCTCATGACCTGGATATGGTGTTGAGGGCCTCCTACTTCGGGAGCATTGTCCTGATGGTGAGTGTGGGTGGGAGGTGGGAGCCTGGCCAGGCGGGTGGGCGCACCAAGTGTACACCCACGAGGCCACTGGCAAGGCGAGCAGGGCCCCCAGCGGCGGCCACCCAGTGGACAGAAGGCCCGGCCTCCCGCCGGTGGCCACAGCCACGTGGCCAGAGTCTATGAAGGGTCCCAGGTCTGCAAGGAAGGTCTACTCTTGCTTTGTCTCTTTCATGAAACCAGGATGAAGGTGGGCTGAGAACCCAAGGCAGGTCAGTGTAGGGGCTTTAACAGCAACTGAAATATTAATCTGGGCCTCCCTGCTGGCTCAGATGGTAATCTGCTTGCAATGTGGGAGACCCGGGTATTATCCTTTTTGCTTCTTTTCCCTTGTTTAATGGAGAGTTAAAATTTTTAAAGAAATACTTCAGTTCAGTTCAGTCGCTCAGTCGTGTCCCACTCTTTGAGACCCCATGGATTGCAGCATACCAGGCCCCCCTGTCCATCACTAACTCCCGGAGTCCACCCAAACCCATGTCCATTACTTCAGGGATCATTAAAGGACTTGCCCTTGGTTCTAGCTCATAAAATGATGGAGCTGGGATTTGAACCTGGGTATGAATCTCGGTGATTCAAGTTTACCCGACTTCTCTATACTACGCCACCTCCCAGAGTTGTCATGAGGATTGAATGTGTTAATACTTATAATTACAACACCAGCTGCTATGAGTGCTATCCTTGTCGTCATCACTGGCATCATCGCCGTGGCCAAGCACTGTTAAGAGCATGGACTGTTGCCATGATTGCCTGGGTCTCAGTCCCAGTTCTTCAACTGAGTAACACAACCTGGACAGGCTACGTAACCTCCCTGTGCTTCAATTTTCCCATCTCAAAAGTGGGTATAAGTTAATACCTGCTTCACAGTTACTGTGAGGTTTAAATGAGCGAACACATGTGAAGTGTTTGGGGAAAAGTAAGCAGTTGGTCACTACACTGCCTGCAGAAGAAATAGCGCCGTAAGTTTCAAGAAAAGTTACGGCAGGGGGCTGAGTTTTCTTTATTTATTAATTTTGTCAAGTCATGTGGCTTGTGGGATCTTAGTTCCCTGAGCAGGGATTGTACGCAGGCCCGGCAGTGAAAGCACGGAGTCCTAACCACTGCTGGTGCTGGTGGTTTAGTCGCTAAGTTGTGTCCGACTCTTTGCGACCCCATGGACTGCAGCCCGCCAGGCTCCTCTGTCCATGGGATTCTCCAGGCAAGAATACTGGAGTGGGTTGCCATTTCCTTCTCCAGGGGATCTTCCTGACCCAGGGATCGAACCTGCGCCTCCTGCTTGGAGGCAGTCCTAACCACTGGACCACCAGGGAATTCCCTGGGGTATTTAATGCAAAGAGACTGCTCTGGAGGAGTCTGGATCGGGTCCTGAATATTGAGAACATGGGAAAACAGAAAGAGAAGGAGGCATTCCTGGAACGAGACATTCCCTTGTCTGAGCAGGGGCTGGACACAGTCCTGGAGGGTTCCGGAAGCCATCGCTGTCTTCCCATTTGTATCTGTGTGCTCCCAGAGGGTAGAAACTACCCCCTCCTCACCAGGGACTCATCAGGGAGGACTTGACCGGCCCTCCCTGCTGTGTCCCCAGAGCCCGGCGGTGATCGACTCTCCGCTGAAGCTGGAGCTGCGGGTCATGGAGCCCCCTCGCTGCACCATCAAGCCCTCGGGCACCACTGTCTCTGTCACCGCCAGTGTCACCATCGCCCTGGTGCCACCCAACCAGCCCGAGGTCCAGCTGTCCAGCATGATCATGGTGTGGACACCAGGGCAGGGGATGCAGAGGGCCAGGGAGGGGGGCCACTGCCCCCTTTCGGGCGGTAACACCACCTTCCCCGCTTTCCCGCCCAGGATGCCCGACTCAGCGCCAAGATGGCCCTCTGGGGGAAGGCGCTGCGCACCCAGCTGGACCTGCGCAGGTGGGCAGGTGTCTGAGGGTCTTGGGTGAGCCCGTAACCTCTCTGAGCATCAGTGCCTTCAGGATAGGCATACCTGCCCAGTGATACTGGGGAGCTAAAGTTCAGTCACAGCTATCAGCCACCTGAGAACCAGGGTCTTGTTAATGCATCAAGTGTTTCATTACAGTGTAATTTCTCTGCAACCTCAACCACCCAGAAGCAGGCAGAGCAGGTATGATGAGAGATGATCCGGCTGGCCCAGCAAGGTTAAATGACACACCCACTGTCACACAGCAAAGCGTGTAAGAACACAGATTTTGGCACAACTTAGCTTTGTGATCTTGAAACAAGTCCTTTTATCTTTCTGAGCTTCGTTTTCTTCATGTATTAAATATAGAAAAGAGTAGCATCTACTGTCTAAGGCTGTGCTGTTCAGTGTAGCAGGCGCTAGCCACTGGTGGCTGTATACATTTAATTATAATGAAATAGTTCCTCACTTGCTCATTTCTATAACCACGGTAGCTAGTAGCTACTGTGTGGCTGGTGTAGAACACTTTACAGAAAGTTCTATTGGACCAGCGTTGTTCTAGGGGCTCCAGTGAGATACCGCAGCGTAGTGCTTAAGAGCCTAGATTCTAGAGGCAGGTTCTGGAATTTGCCAGGTGTGTGACCTTATGCAAATCACTCAGTCTCTCTGGGCCTCATGTGCTGCCTCTATAAATGCAAAGTTTAATAGTGCCTATTCCTTAGGGTTGTTATGAGGATTAAGTCATGTGGCATTTAAAAATAGTTCAGTATTTAGCTTTTTAACATGCCTGGTATCTGGCAGGAAGCAAGCGCTGACAGTTTTGCTAAATAAAAGTAAACAACACACGCAAGTGAAAGTGAAGTTGCTCAGTCGTGTCCGACTCTTTGCAACCCCATGGACTGTAGCCTACCAGGCTCCTCGGTCCATGGGATTTTCCAGGCATGAATACTGGAGTGGGTTGCCACTTCCTTCTTTAGGGGATCTTCCCAACCCAGGGATTGAACCACATTGTAGGTAGACACTTTACCATCTGAGCTACCAGGGAAGCCCCAACACATGGAAAGCCATCAGCAAAAGTCTGGCTATAGGAGGTGCTCTACAAATAAAAAGTAGCAGACTTGAGATTCAAAACAAAACAAAACAAAAAGGTAGCAGACTTGGAGAAAGGAGACCCGAAGAGGGAGCAACGACTCACCCAAGGATGCACACCTGGAAAGTTCTAGAAGCCCCTGGAAAGGTGTGTGGGTGGAACATCCAAGACGGAAGCTCAAGGGCTTTGGGTAGGTAGGCCTGGATGGCCTGGGGAAGGGCCCCTGCCCACGGGACCCTTCTTTCTCCCCCATAGGTTCCGAATCTACTCAAACCAATCTGCACTGGAGTCACTGGCAGTGAGCTGGGAATGGGGGGCGTGGGCACAAGGATGGGGTCTGGGGAGGGCAGTGAAGGCCAGCCCATCCCTCCTCACTGCCCTGACTTCCTGTCTCCCCGCTCCCAGCTGATACCACTGCAGACCCCTCTGAAGACCCTGCTGCAGATTGCAGTGATGCCCATGCTCAACGGTAGGGTCGGGGGGCTGTGAGGAGGGTGGGGGAGAGGTTAGGGGAGGAGCTGGGTGGGTTCGGACTGAGCTGACTGCTCCCGCCCGCAGAGCGGACCTGGCGTGGAGTGCAGATCCCACTCCCCGAGGGAATTGACTTTGTGCGTGAGGTGGTGACAAACCACGCGGTGAGTAGGGGCACCGTGGGGAAGGAGGGTAGAGCCTTCCCCTCCCTCTACAGCTCTCCTCTGCCCTCCATGACCTCATCCCAGTTTCTCCCTCATCAATGGCATCTTTTTTAAAATTAATTAATTGATTTTTTTTTTCAATGATCTCTTCTCATCTCAACCTTACATCAGATTCCTCCAGCCCTTTGCACAGGCTGCATCCTCACCTTGGAACACTGTTTCCTGATTCCATCCCCAATGCCTACTAATCTTTCAGGTCTTAACTAAGAGCTTGCCTCCTCCAGGAAGTCCTCCTGGACCTCCACAGGCTGTGCGCCTGCAGCCTCTACTTCAGCACCCATCACAGAGAGTTGTAAGAAGCGCTTTGGTGCTCTGCCTCTCCCACTAGATTGAGGCCAGGGATTCTTGTCTGTGTCTCTAAACTCTATTCTCAGGAATGGAATAGAGACCCCTCTCTCTGCCCGCCCCCCACACAGGGCTTCCTCACCATCGGGGCTGACCTCCACTTTGCCAAAGGGCTGCGAGAGGTGATTGAGAAGAACCGGCCTGCTGACACCAGGGACCCCCGAACATCCAGTGCCCTGCCACCCTCCACAGCAGCTGTCTGAGCCCTCAGCCCCTACCCAGGCAGCTGCATTCAGGACTCCGCCACCTCTCATCCCCTCCCTCGCCCCATCACAGCCTCTAGTGTCCTCTATAACCCCCAGTGCCACAGAGAAGACGGGGTTTTAAGCTGTACCAAATTTAATTCCATAATCACAGTCAATCCATCAATTATAGTCCGTCCACTCTCCCTGTGGGGCTGTTCGGAGCTTTGATTGTGGGATGCGATCAGTGCAGTGAGGGCAATTCTTTCAGCGGGGAGGGGCTTAGGCCCCACCCCGGTGAGTTATAAAGTGCAAGCTCCCCCCAGACTGTCTAAGTGAGGCACTGGGGCCAGGTCTGGGATGCACAGGGCAATGGAGGGGGGTGGGAGCCGTTCTGGAAGCAGGGATCTGCCCCACAGGGGCATTCTGCATAAAAGGGGCCCTCTCTTCTGGCAAGAGAGGCTGGGAAGGGCTAGATTAGGCAGCGGGGGCGGGTCCCCATGGTTCTCAGTATGGCTGCTTATTCAGGAAGCGGGAGAACATGGTCAGGGCAGCCTGGGGCTTGTCGGTGGGGACCATGTGTCCGGCGCCCTGAAGGGCAAAGCTTTGTGAGATTTCCCTCCCTGGACAACCCCTGCCCCTGGGTGCTTCCTTCATCCTACCGGATCCCTCCAGCCCGTGACCTTCCTCCTCTGATCCCTCCCTTTATCCCATCCCTGCCCAGAACTTGCCCTTCCAGGGGCCACATGGTAACCCAGCATAAAAGTTCGGAAGAAAAGGACAAGCAGGTCCTGCTGCACCCTCTCCCTGCCCCCTGGTCCTCATCAAGTTCCTACCTTGATGGTAAGGAAGGCGATGTGGGAGAACTCCTTCACGAAGCCAGCAATCTGCTCCCCGCTCTCCCCGTAGTCCACCAACCAGGGCCGGCGCTGGACTTCCATCTGCCCCGCCAGGAAAGACTTAGCGGCCTGCAGCTGCCCCCTTGCCTCTGCTCGCAGCCACTGGCCAGGCCTCAGGGGCCGGGAACGCCTTCAGGTTTGCTCTCTCTGTCTGTCCCAGCCAGTCTGCCCTCCCTTGCACCCACTCGACCCTGGGGCTGGGACCCCTGCCTCACCTTCTGGTTGAGGGAATCCACAAACCACTCGTCTCCCATGAAATTGCAGGCCATGTCCACATCGCCGTTGTACAGCAGAATCCGGTATTTCTGAAGCAGCACAAGGGGGAAAATGAGGGGTTTGGAATAAGCGCAGACGCCAGGCCTCCCCTGGTTCAAGCCCTACCCACTGGGAAATTCAAAGAATCCAGCTAAATTGCATAAACCAGGAAACCCTTGTGTTTTCTGACCACTTCCTACAGGGCAAGAGCCCTACTGAATGCTTTACCTATGAAGCATTTTACCACGATACCATTAGTAACCCCATTTTACAGATGGGAAAATCAAGCCTCAGATATGTGAGAAACGCCCAGGGTCACCTGGCTAGTGCTCCCAGAGCCCACACTGCCCACTGTGCTCTGCAGAACTTGGTCCTGTCCTGGCTCAGCCAGCATCTCCTAGGTAACCTACTGTATCTTCTAGGTGACCTTGGACAAGTTTCTCTCCCAGATCAGACCTCTGTTTGCCTTTCTGTAACACGATCTGACTAGTTCTTCTCACCTTAAAGGCTCCTTGACTGATGGAGACCCCTCAGACTCTTCCCACAGAGCAGCATCAGGTGGGGACAGAGCCAGGTTCAAATCCTGACCCTGCTGACCACAGGCTCTCGGGCAAGTGACGTTACTTTTTTGGGGAGTTTCAGCTTCCTCTGCCCCGAGCGGTGCCCTAAGGAAGCCCCCGCCTTGCCACGCTGCTCCAGGGTCCTGAGGCTGCTGATGGACCCAGCTGTGGCTGCCGCCCACTCACCTGTGCAGTGAGCAGCTTCAGGTACTGGGAACACATGCTTTGGTAGAGACGTTGGTACTGGATATTCACCAGGAAGCTGCAGCGCCACATGGGCAAGAAGGCCACGTCCAGGGTGGGGAAGAAAAAGAGACCACAGATCAGACCTCATCCCCTACTCGCTCCTGTTCCCAAGCTCCAGCCCAAGAGAGACAGACGGCTGAGATCCAGCCCCTCCTTGGGCATGTAACCTCTCTGGGACTCACCTAGATGAGGGGAGGTGGGGCTGGAATCCAGAGGAGCCCAACTCGCCCCCATTTAGAAACACACAGGGACGCTTTGTACCGTGGCTAGGGTGCCTCTGGCATTAAGGCATAAGGGCTCGTGCTCGCCAATGAGAACGGACCTGACTGGCCCCTGCCGTGGTCACCTTCCTCCTCGGAGGTGTCACAGGAGACAGCTGCGGGCAGCTGGGGTGGTACTGAAGTCAGGGAGGGGCAGGAGATGGGACTGTCTGCTAAAGATCAGGGTAAGCAACTGACATTTCAACAACCAGTGTGGCTGTTTAAGAGTTAAGTGGCTGAAAATCAGTCAATCCGGGGGTCAGGGACCTTGAACCTCCCTATTGGAACAATTCATGGTCACAACCCGAACGCCCATGGTGTCCTCAATGAGAAACCCTAGGCACAGGATGCCTGGGGACCTCTCTGATGCCCACAAGCCCCAATAGTCTGCCACCTCTCGGGCCACGAGCGCCCACAGAAACCCACTTGCACAAGTCCCAGCGGGGCAGCTGCTCGGGGATGTGGAGCGCCTTCCTCACTTGAGGGTCGTTGAGGTAGTTGGAGGGGGCCGTGGCATTGGTGCAGGGGGGGTCCAGGCGCACCTTCTCCCCAGAACGCAGCAGCATCTGGGAGGGGGGCACAGAGGGTCAGGATCTTGGCTTCCCTGCCCTGCTGTCCCTCCCCGTCCCTGCTGGGAGGAAGCCCGGCCCTTGCACACCTGATGCCACACCCGCTTGAGTGGCAGGCGGGTGAAGATGTTGCCCAGATCCTGGACCATGACAGTGTCCTGCTCATACCTGCAAGTGCAGTGGGGGGAATGGGCGCCTGGGCCCCCAGATGGGGCTGGGGTTGGCACGTGGGGCACCTGGCAGGGCCTACCTTACTTGGCTGGGCACCCCCCCAGCACATGGAGCGTAGAGGTTGTAGATGTTGAGGCCGGAGCTGGACACGATGTGGGACACTTCCTGAAGCTGCAATGACACCCTCAAGCTGCCATGCTTTACAGAATCCTGGCCTCCCACCACTTCCTCAACAGCGCCCCAAGACTTTTTTTTTCTTTCTTTGGCCCTATCATGAGACACATGAGACCTTAAATTTCCTGATGGACCAGGGATCAAACCCGCATGCCCTGTCTTGGGAGTAAGGAGTCTTAACCACTGGACCACCAGGGAAGGACCACATCCCAGGGTTTACTGCTCTTCTGCTTGGCCTGGTCATTATCCTTCCCCCACGCCGGGGAAACAGCCTCAGGGAAAGGAATCTGCTAGTCTGGGGTCCGAATCCTTGCGCCTTTACTTCCTAGCACTGTGACTTCCACATGCTTGGCCTCAGCTTCCTTATCTGGAAAATGTGGATAATACGATCTCCCTCGAGAGGGACTCGTGGATCGCCATTGCTGAGCACAGCCATGGCACATCAGACGCTGATGAGGGAGATGCCCTTTCCCCTCATAGGGAGGTCACAGGCAGTGGTGGGGGACCGCACCCGCACTCCAAAGCATCCGCCTGCCAATGCAGGAGAAACGGGTTAATCCCTTAGTCGGGAAGATCTCCTGGAGAAGGAAATGGCACCCCACCCCAGTACCCTTGCCTGGAGAATCCCATGGACAGAGGAGCCTGGCGGGCTACAGTCCATGGGGTCACAAAGAGTCGGACACAACCGACTAAACACCACCACGCAGGATATAAAACAAAGGGAGCTGGGGGCTGGGGGCTGTCGGGGGCGACGCAGGGCCGGGGCGGAACCGCACATTGGCCACGCATTCTGGCTGTTTGTTGTCGTGGAAGTTACACTTGTTTTGAGAGCAGCAGTGCTTCTGCAGAGAAGACCAGAGCCTGTAAGAGATGAACGATAATTGCTTAGGCCCATGGTGGGCCAAAGAAGGCAAGTACCCCACCTTCTCAACCTCCCGTCAGGGCCTGGACCCAAGGGACCTGTTTCCTGGGGACAAAGACATCAGAAGGCATGGTATGTAGCTCCCAAACCTGGCTGCCCTGGGGCCATCCTGCCAGCCCTCCTTCATTCCTTTACATTCTGATCTTTACATGAAAGATCCTTTCATCTTTTTGCACCAAAACCCTTCTAGCAACCCCAGCCCCATCCACCCCCCCGCCCCCCCAACTTCTGCTCATAAACCACAGCAGGACCCGAGATAGCCTGTGCCTGGAGGACAGACCTGAGACCCTGTGACCCGCCATGCCCCAGGGATTGCCCGGGGGTCCTCGCCCATACCTGTTCCCCAGAAGGCCATGGTAGTAGGCAAAATAGACCAGGGAGTTGTCATTCTGCTCATAGGAAGAGAGTCCATTGCCCACCGCCAGCCCCTGTGAAACACCCAGGGCGTTCAGCTCATCTGGACGTGAGGCAGAAGAGCCTCCTTTGACCTCCACCCAACCTTCAGCAGTCTGGAAGCTGAAATCCAGGGTGGTTTGTGGGAGTGGTTGGGCGGGGGAGGCCACTCAGTGTAAAGAATGGAGCTGGTAGTTTGATGAGTAAGCTTCCGGTCAGGGGAGGCACACAGCCCAGAGGGGCCAGAGAGTGGCAAGGGGTTTCATGAAGAGAGAGTTGGACGGAGGAGTTGACCCTCTGCTCAGAGAGCAGGGGAGTTAGGACCTGGGATATCACGTGCCTGGAGGACAGACCTGAGGTCCCAAGACCTGCCACAGGGGATTGCCCAAGAGGTAGATGGAGGAGCAGACCTGTTTGACCTTGCAAACCAGAAGGCTAGGCCTCCCTCCCCTCCTGCAGCCTCCCTGCACCTGAAGGTTCATGCTGGGGTCCTGCATGACCAGCACTGCCAGGGTTGGGATGTAGATGCCGGCATAGCTCTCGCCCGTCAGGAAAAGCTCATTGCCCTTGTATTCCGGGAACAGGTAGAAGAAATCTTTAAGGGCTTCAAAATTGCTCTGGGCGACCTGGAGATGGCAGGATAGAGAGAATCAGAAAGTGGTGGTGCTTGAGCTACAATCTCAGAGATAATAAACAACCACCCACCCTGTTTGTGCAAGAGCCTGTGACTTGTCACAGACCACACCACAAAGCTGGTGACAGAGCCACAAATGGACTCCAAGACCATGCTCTTTTTCTCCTTGCATCATGCCAACCAGGGAGACTGGGACACGTGGGCAGACACTGGACTTACCTCTGTGTCATTGGTGGCATAAGACTTGTCATCGGAGTAGGAGAAGCCCACTCCAGCTGGGGACTCGAGGTATAACATGTTGGCAATCTAGAGGGGAAGTGGAAATGGGCTGAGGGGGGCTGTTCCCTTCCCCACCCAACTGCCCAGACACCCACCCAGGACCCAAAAGGGCGGCAATACCAGGTTCCAGGAATAGGGGTTGTACTCCAGGGTGACACCATCTGGCTGGATCTGTGGAGGAAAGAGATGGCTAAATTCCAAGAGTTGGCTGGGTGGGGGGTGGGGGAAGGTCACCCTGCTGGGTATTGCACAACCAGGCAAAACCCCCGAGAGATATGAAACTGTCAAGTCAGAGGTATGGATGAAGACACTGAGGCTCAGGAAAGGGACACGTTTTTTGGAAGACCACAAAGTCCTTTTCTCCCTCTTCCCGGGCCTTTTCCTTTGGGAACTGTTCCCTCCCTGCCCCTGACCAGGGGGTGACCCCACTGCTCTCCACTCACCAGGAAAGGGCCGTGCTCTGTCAGGAGGCCGTCAAGGGAGCTACAGCCTGGCCCTCCATTGAGCCACAGAACCACAGGTCTGCTCTTGGGATCCTTCTGGGACTCCACAAACCTGGGGGCAAGTCAGGCTAGGGTGGGTGCTGGTGCGGGGGACTGCATGCGGCTCAGTCTTCCAGCCTTCCCTACTCCTGGATTTCCTCAGGGATCTTTTTTTTTTTTTTCCTTCTTCTTAATCTCAGTTTGACGGCAGAGCATGTGAGCTCTTAGTCCCCCAACCAGGGATGGAAACCTGGTCCCCTGCAGCTGGAAGCACTGAAGCCTTAACCACCGGACCCCCAGGGAAGTCCGATCCCTCAGGGGTCTTAAGGACACGCTCCCCCCCACCATCATCTCCCTCCACGGTGGGCATTGCAGTGCCCCCCTCCCAACCCCGTCCTGGGAGACAGGGCTGCAGACCAGTAGTGGAGGCGCTTGGAGCCGGAGCCTTTGAGGTAGCCGGAGTACTGGCGGAAAGAAGGCTGCTTGGCCAGCCCGGGCAGGAAGCGGATCTCGTCCTGGTCGGGGGCCGCCTCGCCCCCGGGCGCGCAGGCGAGCAGCAGCAGCTGCAGCAGGAGGAGGACCGGCGGCCACAGCGCGGCTCGGAACATCTGCGGCAGGAAGCGGGTGCCGGCTGTTGCCTCGCCCGCTCGCTGCTCGGCCGCCCCTGGCGGGGAGCTGGCGGCACACCCTCCAGGGAAGCCCCTTCCCTGCCCCAGCTCCCACCCGCCGTGCCTCCTCCGTCGCGTCCCGCCCGGGGCGCTCCGGGATCCCTTCCAGCCCCGGGATCCCTCTCACCTCCGCTCCCTCGCGTCTTTGCTCTTCTGGAGAGGCCGGCCCGGCGACGGGAAGTCATGTGTACTGCGAGTCACGTGTGCCCAAGCGTCACGTGACGGGCCGCCGCCTGCCCACTTCTGGCCTCTAGGGACCTGGGCGGGGGGGAGGGGGGCAGGACGAGGGCGGCGGAGGTTCTACCCGGGCGAAGGTCAGCGGGTTCAGGCAGGTCTCATCCCGGGCGCCGGCGGTCAGATGACCCAAGCGTGGACGGCCGGGAACCCCGAGCATCCCGGGACCCGCTTCGAGGCGGGATGGCAGAGCCAGCGGCGCTAGGACCCCTGGGCAGAGCCTCGGGGAAGGGAGTCGGCGGGGGGCAATACCTTACATGGTGCACCTGCCCCCTCCCGCGCTCACCGAGTCCGCTGCCCAAAATAGCCCCCGGCGCCCGCCGGTCTGTCCCACGGCCGGGAGATGGCTGCTGTCTCCGACCCCGTGGGGCTGGGTGCGCCGTGGGGACCGGCGCGCCCCGAGCCCCCTCCCACCCGCTTCCACCCAGTGCACGGTGCCAACATCCGCGTGGACCTCTCCGGGACGCGGGCCACACGCGTGGAGAGCTTCGCCCACGGCGTGTGCTTCAGTCGCGAGCCGCTGGCTCCCGGCCAGGTGTTCCTGGTTGAGATCGAGGAGAAAGAGCTGGGCTGGTGCGGGCACCTGCGCCTCGGCCTGACCGCGCTGGACCCCGCCAGTCTGGCCGCCGTGCCCGAGTTTTCGCTACCCGACCTGGTCAGCCTCGGGCACACCTGGGTCTTCGCCATCACGCGCCATCACAACCGCGTGCCCCGGGAGGGCCGCCCGGAGGCAGAGGCCCTGGCCCCCAGTCGTCCCCCAGCCCTCCTCGTGGAACCGTATCTCTGCATCGAGCAGTTTCGCATTCCCCGCGACCGTCTGGTCGGCCGCAGCCGGCCGGGTTTGTACAGCCACCTCTTGGATCAGCTCTATGAGCTGAATGTGCTGCCTCCGACCGCGCGCCGCAGCCGCCTGGGCGTTCTCTTCTGCCCGCTCCCGGACGGCACGGCTGACATGCATATCGTCATCAACGGCGAGGACATGGGCCCCAGCGCCCGGGGGCTGCCAGCCGCCCAGCCCCTCTACGCGGTGGTGGACGTCTTCGCCTCCACCAAGAGCGTGCGCTTGGTCCAGCTGGAGTATGGCTGTAGGTATCCCACCCCCTGGGCAGCGACCCCTCCTGGCCCCCAGGGGGGACAGGAACCTGCTAGGACTTCTGAACCAGTTGGCAAGGCCTTGGTCTGTCCAGCGTTGCTTTAGAAGTTGGGGAACCTGGGACTTCCCTGGTGGACCAGTGGCTAGGACTCTGTGTGCCCAATGCAGGGGCCTGGGGTCCCATCCCTGGTCAGGGAACTGGATCCCACATGCCACAGCTAGGAGTTTGCATGCTGCAACTAAGAGCTGGCACAGCCAAATAAATACATAAATATTAAAAAAAAAAAAAAAAGGTGGAGGGGTGAATCTGACTTCAGATTCTGCCTCTGCCTGTGGCCTTGGACAAATCAGTTCCCTTGGCTTTGGGCCTCGATTTATCCACCTTGGCTGTGATCAATTAGGATGTCCTCTAAATCCCCTTTCTGGCTTTGCCAATATTTTCTGTATTAACCTAGGGCATGAATTCGAAACCAATTTTAGATTTTGGTCCTCTGAGAATTATGTGTATTAGACAAATACTCATCGATTTGAGTGTACAGAGTTTAAAGGCATCACCTCTAAACCCCAGGTGAGAGCTTCTGAATCCTGAGGTCTGGTTCATGATAGCACCATTAAGCCCTTTATTTATACATCTGAGCGTGCGTGCGGGCTCAGTCACTCAGTCGCCTCTGACTCTTTGCAACCCTATGGACCACAGCCCACCAGGCTTCTCTGTCCATGGGATTTTCCAGGCAAGAATACTGGAGTGGGTTGCCATGCCCTCCTCCAGGGGGTCTTCCTGACCCAGTGATCGAACCCACAGATGCTGCAGCTCCTGCGTTGGCAAGTGGATTCTTTACCACTGAACCGCCTGGGAAGCCATACATCTGAATTCACATTTTATGAATTTAGTAGGCGAGAACCCTCTCTGTGCCAGGTCTGTGCTGGAGGCTGGGGTTGCCCAGGTTTATCAGATGCTACCCCTGCCCTCAGAAGCTGCTAAGGGAGGGGAAGGGAGCAGGGTGATGCTATCAAGGAGACAGAGCTGTTGGGAAAGTGCTGCACAAGAGGTGCTTATCTCCATCATGTAAACGGCCCCGAGCCAGCCTGGGCCTGAGAGTGAAGGGACCAAGACCTAGGTCTGGGTCTTGGCACCCCCACCCCCCGCCATTGCTTTTGCCTTAGACAGCCTTCTCTCCACAGTGCCGTCCCTGCAGACCCTGTGCCGCCTGGTGATCCAGAGGAGCGTGGTGCACCGGTTGGCCATTGATGGGCTCCATCTGCCCAAAGGACTTAAGGATTTCTGCAAGTATGAGTGAAGGCCTGCACCGCCCTGGAGCAGGGCCACGAGAGTGCATCCTGGCCCCAGAGGCATGCCTGCCCTGAAGTTGGCCACGCTGTTGCCAGCCAGGATGGAAATAAACACAGCCGATGTTGCCACCGATCCTTGGAGGGTCTCCTTGCCCCTGAAGTCTGTGAGGGGCATTTCTTTTAGAATCACTGGGGGTCAGCAGGGCAGGTGAGAGAAAGGGAGCATTTCGACACCACCTATACCTGTGACTCCTAGCCTGACTACTCGTGATCTAAGACAGACTGCCAGTGCTCTGGGCCCTGATACCAGAGATTCTCATTTGATTTGTCAAAGGACATTGTTTTTGCAAAAGTTCCCCTCGAGATACTAAGGAATAGCCATGGTTGAGAAGTATTTCCCTCAAGCAGAGGTCTCAACTTTGGCACATGGTATAACCACTTGAGAAACTTTGAAAAATACTGCTAACTGGGTCTCACCCTGGGATTCTGATTTAGTTAACCCTGGGATAAGGCTGAGCATCAGGATTTCTAAAAGCTTCCAAGAGAATCTAATGTGCAGCCTTGGGTGAGAACCAATGCCCTAGACCAACTACATCATTTCACAGATGGAAAGTGGAAGCCCAGAGATGGGAATGTGTTTGTCCAAGGACACACAGCAAATGAATGAATACAGGGTGTTTCCTCTGCACACACTGAAGGGCACAAAGCACCCGATTCCTTTATTTGTATCTCTGATCATTTCTTTCATACAAATGATCTCATTTGATCCTTCATAACTTCTGGTGAAGTAGTGGGCAGTCATTTCCCCATCTTACAGATAAAGATGTTGAGGAACAGAACTGTCCAGGTGACTTGTCCAAGGTAAAGGCAAGAACCTAGAATGCCCAGTTCCTGGTCCAGCACTCTTTCAGCACCATCCATTGTCATACGCAGGTTCTAGAATGAACAGGTCAATCCTGTGAGGTGGGTTCCAGGTGTAAAAGGGAAGGACTATGAGGTGACATTCTAGAAGGGTGGAGAAGGTAGGACAGGAGGCAGATGACTGTTCCCTCACAAATAGGGGCTTTGGGGCAGCCATGTCCTATTTCATGTCTCCACAGACTCAGCCAGGTCTTCCGTCTTCTGGCCAAGGTGAGGGGGCCCATGAACTGGAGGGTGTATAACTTCCTGAGAACCTGAGTCCTGGCTCTGGGGAGGTGGCGGTTCTGCTGGGCATTGTTGGGCTTGCCCTGGAGTCAGTTCTCTTTGAAGAAAGCCATTCCCAAAGTCCTTGCCAAGAGCCACCCACTTGTTCATTCATTCATTCAACAAACATGGCTCCATCACCTACCTGCATTAGGGACTGATTTGGGGTGTGGATATGAGCAAAACCCAGTTCCCAACCACCAGACCGCCCTCTTGGGCTGGTCTTAATTTCTCCCGATCCCAGGGCTCTGCTCCTGTGCCCTGCCCCTCAGGGCCTCCTCCTCCGAGACCAAGAATAACACTCCATCCCATTCCTGTCTCTGCAGGTGGGGCCGCTTCTCCGGGCTCATCTCTCGGCCTCTATAGTCTTATAGAGCCATGGGTGGTGGTTTCTGGTGGACAAGGCCCACTGAGCCAGAAAGCTGAGCAGGTGACACCTGTTGCCCAGGCCTGGGGCCCGGCCCCTGGGGGCGCTGGCTGGGAGCCACCGAGGCAGGAGTACAACTGGTACTGCCACAAATTCCCCGCCGCGAGGCAGCCGGAGAGCCTGGGCTGGGAGGATGGCTACTCCAGAAGCAGAGCCCCTCAGCTGGGCGGCCCCAGCAGGCCTGCGCCCCTGCTGCTGTGTGGGCTGTCACCTGGGGCTCCGCCGATGCCCGTCGAAGTAGGGGGGAAGGAGGCCAGCTCCCAGCCCGACATCTGCATCCTGACCTTGGCCATGATGATCGCTGGCATCCCCACTGTGCCTGTCCCGGGCCTGCGGGAGGAGGACCTGATCCAGGCGGCTCAAGCTTTCATGATGGCCCATCTGGAGCCGGAGGGGGCTGTGGAGAGGGCCCAGTGGGTGCAGGCGCAGGCCCACAAAGCCTCTGGGCCAATGGCCTTAGCAAGATCCCGGAGGGGCCAGCCTCCTGGCTCCTACTTGTAGCTGGATGAAATAGCACCAGACTCATAGGGTGGCTTCTCTGTATGGTTTTTGGGCAGGCAGGGGTGGTGGTGCCTATGGCAGGGACTGGAATAAGGTGGTGGTTTGAGCCACTCTGACAAACACCGGCCCATTCAGGGCCCAGACCCCAGGAAGTTCCCAGAAACCATTAAGCTGGGAGATGGGTCTTTGGTCAGAGTAGTTACAATGAGAATTACCGAGGTAGGCGGCCCTGCTTGGAGAGTGCAAGCTTCTTTTGTACCATTCTGGTACTCCCATCAGAATTCTTGCGCAAAGCCCTAGGCAACGTGCACTTTTCTCCTGCTTTTTGTTTCTCACTCTGCTGAGGGCAGGTGATGGGACCACAGACAAGGAAGGAACACTGACTCTTATTAACACTAACTCTGAGGACCCACTGGGCGTCAGCCCATCACATGCTCAGTCTCCTCTCATCCTACCAGTGCTCCGGGAAAGCTCCATTTTTACAGGTGAATGAATTGAGGCTTGCCTCAAGTCCCAGAGCAAGTAAAAGGCAGTACCCGGCCTCAGAAAGCAGATAGGGAAGAAACCAGGGTTTGCAATGTAATGTCAGACTATAAAATCTAGTCGTTCTATAGTATTGGGGGTGGCCAAAAAGGTTGTTCAGGTTTTTCCTAACATCTTACAGAAAAACCCAAACATTTTTTCCAACCCAGTACCTCCTAAACTTCCTTCTACGAGACAAAAAACTAGACAAGTGCTAAAACAGACAGCATTCACTTTAATGACCTCAGGATCGGGGGGCGTGGCGGGTGGTGAGGCTGACAGCCTGGCTCTCAGCCTCTGGGGGGCCTTCTCCTCTGTGGGTAGGGTGTCACCTCATGACTGTGGAAGCTCTTACCAAGTCCCAGTCTTGATCTTCACTGTCTTATCTCTTATCCTAGAGCAGGTATTACCTGTGAAGGCCCTTGAGCTAAGAATGGGTTTTACTTTTTGAAAAGGTTGTTAGGGGGGAAAAAACAACAAAAACAACCCACACAGCAAAGACAAAGAACCAGGAACATACAGCAGGCTGTAAGTGCCCAGCAAAGTCCAGGATACTGACTATCGGGTCCTTTATGGGACAGCTTCGCTGCCTCCTGTTTTAGGAATCTAGACACTTTGTGGGTAGCAGGCTGCAGAAGAGAAGACCCTCGTGCTTCTTCCCTGGAAGGAGGGTCCGAGGAAGGACAGCAGTGTGAGTGTTGGGGGGAGGGTGTGGGAGGGGAATGTGAGTGATACAGAAGGATGAGCACCACAGGTAATCAGAGTTGGACCTGCTCATAAGGGCCGATCCAGTTGTCGGCCAGCTCCCGCAGGGTGCTGTACCGCTGTTCAAACTCCTCCTGGCTGCAATGCAGCAGGAGCTGACTCACCTCCTCCGTGAGGAGAGCTACAGCCAAGCGCTTCTCCAGGGTCTCGCTCCAAGTGCTGCCCAGGATGTCACCGAGATTGGGGGCACAGCCTGCTGTCCACTCAGCAGGCAGCATGTCGGGCTGGAGCTCCTGGCGGTGGGCGCTGAGCATGGCCAGGATGTGGCGGCAGGGCAGGCGGAAGGCCTGGTTGAAGTAGCAGCTGCAGCTGGCCGGGGGCTGGGGCTGCACCCTGTGGGTGTCCTCCAGGATCTGTATGTTCACCTTTTCGGAACCCGAGCCAATGAGATGCATGGATTTCTGGACCACAGCAAGCTCGCCCAGGCAGAGCTGGGCGGCCGGCCCCGTGCAGATGGCATTAAGTGAGTGCTGGATGCGGGCTTCCACCAACTGCTCCACTTTGGGGCTTTCGGGACTGCCCTCCAAGGGGGTGTAACGGTTCGGGGGACTCAGGCCCAGGTTGAAACTCACCTTGTCTCCCGAGTTCTGCCGAAGGTACCGGAGCAGGGCGCTCATGCCTTTTTCCACCACTGGGGTGGTTCCAAAGAACTGGCTGAGGAGGCGAGTGGTGACCTCCAGGCCCTGAAAATAGCGGCTGCTCTCGGCTCGGCTCCTCCAGCGGTGGGCCAACCAGATGCGGTCATTGAGCAGCCAGTGTGAGTGGAGCGCGGGCAGCTGGGCCGGTGGGATGCAGCTGCTCAGCAGTGTGTACAGCTTCTGCAGGTTCCCGGCCGTGGCTGAGCACATGGTGCTCCGCAGGGCGGTCAGGAGCAGCCTTTCCACTGGCTGCTCCAGGGCCAGTTGACAGAACTTGCCCTGGAGGAACTTACAGATGTGGAAGGCCGAGAGCAGGACCTCAGCTGCGGGGAACTCCATAGCGAGGGTGGGCAGCAGGAGGAAGTAGGGATCCACCAGAATGGTACAGACTCTCTCCCATGCTGGGTTAAACTTCTTGAACACCTGGCACATCTGGGCCAAGGCTTCGGCATCCTCCTTGGCAAGAATGGCGAAGTAGACTGCCCGGGAAAGATGACCCTCCAGCGGCACCCGGGGTCCATCCACCAGGAAGGTGTATAACACCTCGCCCCTCGGGTTATAGGTCCGGTGGATAAATAAGATCTCGGGAAAATGGGTAAAGACCCTCTGCATAAAGCAGCTCTGATAGTTGAGGGTCTCTAACTGGGCAGTCTTGTTAAGCTGGTAGAATAGCAGAGGTGGGCTTGGGTCCTCAATCAGGAGCTCATTCAGCACTGTCAGCGCCATGGGGGAGATGGGAAATGTCTCAATGCCAAGGTCAAAATACTTGCTCTGTGCGGCTGCCAAACAGAAGGCTCCCACTCTCTAAAGCTCCAACTAAGTCAAGGCTTGAGGCTGGGCTGTAGACCCCAGATCTTAATCCAAAGATGGGCCTGTGGAGAAGAAAAGAGATATAAGAAGACAGTAGGGGCTTGGCTCTTCAATTATTCATCCAGACAATATTTTATTCCTTAACTATGTATCAGCACTGTTCTGGGGATATGCAATAAACATGTAAACAAACAAGGATGTATCAGATAATGAAATTTACAAAGACCCTAAAATGGGGTAAGGGTAGGCTGGAGGAGGGAGGGATGCCTTAGCCAAGGCAGCCAAGGAAGCTGTCTCTGGGTGGTGGGAGGATGACTTGGAGCTGAGACATAATTGGTAAGAAGTCAGCATGGAAGGATTTGGTGCCAGAGATTTAAGTGAGTGTGAAGGGCGGAGCTGCCTTTTTTCTCCTTAAATATTTAAAATATTTGTACAGCACTTTGTATTTACTTCTTGGCCTCCATTCTTTCATTGGTCCTGGTATATACATGAGAACTGCAATTGCCCCAGACTTACTGTGTGATCTTGGGCAAGCCAGTGATTCCCTCTTAGCCTCAATCCCTTCAACCGAAAACGGGGTTAACAAGTGTTCATAAGTCTTTCCTCCCTCTACGTAAATCCCTCTATTAACTGCAATACTTTGTTCAAATGGTTCCTCTATTTAGCCCCTCAACCCGGGTTACTGTCCCCATTTTACAGATGAGAAACTGAGGCTCAAAGAAGTTAAGTGACTTGCCTACCATCATTCAGTAAGTAGCTGGAAGCTGAGTCTTTGGCTCGGGATTCTGACTGCTTGCCACAGTAAAAAACCAGAGACAGAGAGGGGATGCGGCCTCTGACCTCTCACCTCTAACCCAGGTGGCAGGATGTGGATGTCTGATGTTCGCATTCGGGGTCTGGCCAGAGCCAGAAGAGAAGTCAACCTCCACCCTTTTGGGGGCTGTGTCATGGTGACTGTGGTTACCAGCTGCTTCACACCTCCACCCCTGAAGGAATTACTCACCCACAGCTTGGCTCGGTCGCCATTTCTCCCTATTTGACCCTGCCTCTGACTCTGACTGACCTCTAGGCTCACCAACCGCGGCGCCAGCTTCCCGTGACTCGGGCCAATGGCCTGAAGAATTCGCTTTCGGACTTTGTGGCAACGACCAATCATAGACCGGCGATTTGTGGGCGGGCGCTGTTACCAGGGTTACGAGGGGCTCGGCTGGCGGCAACCAATGTAAGCCTGAAGACACCAGCATCCTTTGGAGTCTGAGCCCAGGAGCTGAAACTGCAGAACCACACGTCTGGGAAGAGGGCTGGAGGGGCGGGTTACTATGGAAACTCCCACAGAGGCCAAAAAGCAAAAAGAAAATAAATAGCAGTGTTTCAAGATTTTTTTTTTTTCTTTTCTGGTCAAATTCCAAAGCCCCAGGAGGGTAGGAAGTGGTGCCTGTGTGATTGTACTGTGTCTTCTGTCTTACCGGGAAGCTGAGGCCCGGGTCTCAAATTTTGCTTCTCCAACAAGGGTCGAGGGGCCCAACTCTCGGAATTGAGGAGATCGAGATCTTCTTGAGAGAGCTGAACTTGGGTGTTGCTCAGCCCAACCCCTCCAGTATTTTACAGGCATGATCCAGAATAGTGTTGTGACTGTTAAGGTCATGGTGAACTACTGCAAGAAGCAGGATTGACTACCATCTTTTGACCCTCGGTTCCATTGAAGATGGTTCTTGGAAAACTGGGAAGCTACCAGGCTTTAGGTGACCAAGATTACAAACTAGCAACAACAACAAAAGTCTGTGTTGGTGCTTAAACCTCCATTGAATCTAGAAGGGAAACTGGAATTAAAAAAAAAAAAAAAAAGAAACTGGAATTAGAACAGGCCAACAGATTAGTTTTTGCAGATGAGGAAACTGGGGTCAAAGAAATTAAAGACTTGCCCACAGTCCCCCAGCAAGTTGAGGGCAATCAAGTCTTGGACTCAGGTTTCTTCCCTCCCAATCTATTTGGCTTCTTTGGGCTAGAATATGAGGCAGCCTGAAGTCCATGTTGAAGACTTGGTTGCAGGAAGAGGATGAAGCAAGGGGTGGATCGCTCATCATTGAATTTGGGACATCGGACTCTATTTGGCTGCACAATCCCCATCAGATTCCTTCCCTGTTCAGGCAGAACACATTTCTCTTGCTTATTTGCTTTTATTTAAAGAACAGAAACAAAACAAAACTTTAATATGAATAAAAATAGGTACAAATAAATTCTTTGTAAAGAGCAGCAACAGCCAAG